GTTTCCCACCAAAAATATTTTGACGTCTTGCTTCCCTCATATTTTTGGCGACATTCTTTATTATTTGTGCAACTTCTCACATTTCACGACAACTTTTTATGTCGCCAAAGGTTTTTTGGTACTTATTTTCCTCATCACAAATTTCGCGACAAACTCAAAAAATGTGTCGCGTTAAGTCATTTATTGCAACAACTTTTTGTATGTCGCGAAATCACAGTTTTGTTGTAGTGTTCCCATAGATCCTCCACTAATTTCAGTCAAAAATCCGTTAATCTTAAGTACCATAACTGTACACGTTTCAATATGGTACAGTAGCTCGTGTAGGACAATCTGAAGATACTTCATTCGATAAAAACGTATACCTCAATTTTCTGAAAAAAATAATTCTTAATTATTTGCACCAAAAAATGAACAATAGGGTAGAAAAGTTTGCTGATAATTGGGAGATCAAAATAAATATTCTACTAAACTCGAAATATGGTACAGTAGCTCTTGTGTAGAACAATCTGAAGATACTTCATTCGATAAAACGTATACCTCAATTTTCTGACTGTCCAAAGTACCTGCCTGATATTGTCGTGAGAATATTTAGCATAATAACATCATCATCCAGTTCCCATTTTGCAGCACGCAAGCTTCCACACTTCCGAAGTAGAGACTGAAGGGCTGCACAAGTGTCTGCAATAAGAGGACAATCCACTGCTGCACACAGAGCAAATAACCATAAGCAGTATTCCCGTGATAATGTGCTCAGACTCTTGACTGAGCTTATTCGCCTTTACAACATTGAATCTCGAGCTACAGAATCCATTTTCAAAACAGTTGATGTAGTAGGAGAGTCAGTGATCGAACTGGAAGTTTCTGGAGAATGCGAATCAACTTTTGCATTATTTGTTTCTGGTACAAAGTAATCATCTTTAACTTTTAAGCTGTCAAAATTCTCAGAGATTATACTTAAAACATATTTGATCCACCATTTCTTGTTCATGAATTGATTGTGACAAATCAGGAACTTTAGCACTAGAACCTTCAAGCTCAAGCCGCATTAAATCCTGGAAAAAGTAGATCCAATTCAGCTATGCGGTAACACTAAAGTGTAGGAACAAACACTATAAACAGCATGCATTCATCCACACCCCCCCCCACCCCCCACCCCCACCAACCACACTCGCACATGTAAAATGCGTGTCAGTCTTGAAATAGTTTTTCATCAAATATAATGAAAGTGAAATTCAGAAACAATCGCCGAAATAATTTTAGTTTCCTGAGGAAAGTGATTATTTGGTATGCTGCGTAAATCTAATAATACTTCCAAATCTAATTCTCCTTATCCTTATAACTATTGAACCAACCTCTGATATAAACCCAAGTCCAAATTCATTTGCTGATGAACTGCAAAGCGGGTGAGTATCCAGATTTATTTTTTTATCGTGAACAAGACTTCTAGAAACATTATCAGGATGTCATTTTTAGGGAAGTTCAAAATTTGTTTTAGAACTAGTTGCACCTATCCAGATGTCAACTGACAAAACAGACGACACAAATGCATAGTTGATAATGTATGTCACAAGAATTGTTTTCAAAAGCGAACAAGGACTACATCTTGAGGCCCGCCTCATGTGAGGCCATCAATAAGACTTACCACTTTTGCTGTAAGTGAAGGACTGAGGCTAAGGTGTGCACTCAGTTTGGTTTAGTTTTGCTAGAGGCTAGAATATCATAAGGGTCTTTTGGGTTTAAACAAAACCTATCCCTAAAAACTAAAAAGATAAGAATTGGATGTTAGAGAAGAGTCAGGTACGCTTATATTTTTCTTCTCTTCTTTTCTTTTACAGTCAAAGTAATAGAATTTAGACCAAATAACACTCGCATAGGAAAACTTCAATCATTTTAAATTTGTTAAAAGAAAAGATGGCAGAGGAACTCAGGGATAACCGTCTATCAGTTTACAGATGAGCAGCATATACATCTATGCCAATAACTCTCATAACGCAAGAAAGCTGAAACGCTGAATGTGCTTAACTTTTAGTATGACAAATTATTTGTCAGAGAGTAATTTCAGATAATTAATCTCATGTACAGTAAATGGAAATCTTGTGTGAAGTGTCAAGGAGACGCAAGCTATGTTGTCGCCGTATAATATACAATTTTCTTTGCATATATATGGAGACAGGAAGTAATATAAAGAAGAGAATAGCGTCAACAAAGATTATTCCAGTCTTAGCTTTGAAAAATCAGCAAGAAAGTGAGTTCTCCCACTGTTTGAGCGGCAATAAGTTATCATGGAACTTCATAATATCAGGAATTTGGGGCATATAAATGGTCTGTTCTTTGTTTAGTTTGCTTTTTTTAACCTTTGCAACCGCCACTTTTGGAATTTGTTCAGCTTCCCACCTAAAGAACAAAAGCACTTTCAGAATTAAACCCTAAAACCTCCATATCCCGAAAAGAAAACATACATGATTAGATACTTCTTGAGAGAAAACACAGTTTAAGAAAATGGTCATCATGGGTATTCCAACTTTTTTTTTTTCCCTGGGATTAATTTTGCAAGCTTTTGGCAAACAAGCTATCCAACCATTAAACACAAGCTTATAAATCTGTGCAGACATACCAAACGTCCACAGTGGTTAGAGTTATAATATTTGACGAGTGTCACATGCAAGAGGCAAATCGTGAACAAAAGAGCAATCACAAAGCCTCTTGCATTATGACACTCATCAAATATTAAAATCTTTATCCAGCCAAGGCTAAAAAAATTATGAGAAGCATATATTTATTGTTTACTACAATTCTACCAATAACAAAGAGAGTTGAGTTTATTTCTAAGTACATCTATCCAATTCTATTATAAATTATATTATTCTACCTCTTTCTTCTATATATTATTCCATATGAGAGTTCACACATTCTACACTTATATATGAATCTATATCAGGCTTTTTAGATATTGGCTTACAAATTGATTGCATTTATGGTCTCCTGAAAATTCTGAAAATGTTCTTTATCATTTTCTGAAGTCCTTTTTCTGAAATATCAATGCCAATAGATATTTCAGAAGAGGAGATTCACGGAAGTAATAAAGAACAGTTTCAAATTTTTCTAGAGGCCATCATTGCAGCCAATTTGTACAAAGCCAATATCTAAAAAATCCAATCTTATTCATATGTAAATGTAGAATTGGTTAAAAGATGCCATCATCTGGCTCTTTGAACTTCATGATAATATATATCATGAATTGCATTTTGCATGGAGAGTTAATATATTTAAGGATTAAGAAGACACAAAGCTCCGAATCCAAGATAGAGTGGGCACATTAATAGTTAAAGATTTTCAAGATTTTATAATTTGTAAGTGTTGTTTTCTTTAATATTTTTTGACTATTTAGAAAACTTGTATACGTAATATCTTATTCGTGTATAGTTTTAACTCTGCCTATGTTAAAAGAAGCTACTTCCAAGTCTAGAAAAAGGAGAGTTAATTTCTTTTTAAGAAAAAAAAAAAAGAAATTGTACAAACGTGTTGGCATGTGGGTTTCTCAGATCGGTCCATGAGACCGACAAGACCCAAGAAACCCAAGAGCCGAACCTAACGGTGTTTTTGGACATAAGCCGAGCTTGACTCATCCAAAGGGTCGAGTTGAGCTCGAACGTTTAAGACCCAAGTCAACCTCATTGCCACCCCTACTCTAAACTCTATCCTCATCATAGCATATGAATGAATATGTCTAAATCAAGTTGGCTTCTAAATAGTTCAAAATTACCCTTGAAAATTAAGATTTTTCTCTGAACGTTCCCACAGAGCACAAGAAAACATGCTTGAAAATGGGAAAATAAGAACTCCTTAAACATAATTAAATAGATTAAGTCATTTTGATCCTATATTAAATATGATAAGGATATTTCTCCTGTTAATCAAATCATTGGTGCTTGGTCCACATTCTTTCCTTATTGTCCATTATCCTAAAATGCAGCCACAATTAATCAATCAATAGCATTATATTTAGCTCTGTCAAAAGACCAGGTAAGAAAATATTAGAATTATCAGTGTACTGTATAGTATGCCTAATCCCTAGCAGAACCAGCACCGTGATTTTAATAGGAGAAAACAATGCTCACAAAATATTGGAACATAAGAAAAATAAATTTATAAATCATTTTTATATTGTAAGAAAATCTTGTATTTCATTTACCTAAAAGGCTTCAGTTATTATCCGCGTTCTAGATATAAGTACTAAAATAAGGTACTATACAAATCAGTCATTCAGCATGTTGAACGAAGTTATCCAATCGCAAAGCTAACAAGAACGAAAAAAATAAAAATTAGATGTGCACACTGTGACAAAATCTTGATAGGTGAAACTGATACCTTACACGCCTAAGATATTCTAGTCCATCTTGTGGAGGCCCTGAATCAAAATCGGGTTCTCCTGTAACCAAAAAGGCAGGCTTTTGTATGCTACCGTAATCTTCATCGGTGGTGTCATCTTCGCTGCACTCTCCTTCCACAACTGAGCAGTCAAGAACATCACGGCCAGGAAAACATGAGGCAGTATCTATAGTATTCACATTATTAAAGTGATTCTGTGCAAGCTTAAGACAGCCTTCACCTGAAGGTGTGGACAAATTTAGTAAACATCCTTCATCTTCAACGTAAAAGTTATTCATCCATCAATAACACAAAGGAGAAGAAAAATAATTCAAACGACACATAATCTAAGATTTTTAAAAGAAAAACCTTTTGTACAATCAACAGATGTCTACAACATTCCAATAAACAAATTCTACTGGACTTTGTTGTTCGATTTACAATTGAAGGCAAATGTGCATACATTTACACCTAGAATGTGCCATCATATACTCATATTAAAAAAAAAATGCATAACACACCAAATGATTTAACTAGGACTCAGAACAAGCATATCAACTGTTTGAGCTCCCGGTAAAAGTCAGCAACTATCTAACTCAAGTGTAAAAAAATCTAGAGATATATTTTGGAGCAAAAAAGTTATTTGCAATTCCTAGAAGTCATTCTTCAGCGCACAGAGACTTTCAGGTGGTTTCCTTCTGTCCTTGCAGCAACTGCATCTGTGTCAATGAAAATAATCCCATCAGATTGACACAATAAGAACCCAATATCTATGAGGCAAAAATAAAAATAATAAAAAAAAAAGCCAATAAGTAATTAAGTAAGCAGTTTAAAATAATTTTTAAAAGGTTTTTCATAATATAATTTTCCCTCCCCCCTCAAGGCCCCTTCCCCCAAAACTTAAAAACAATGAAGCAGAAGAAAAAAAGGCTAAAGAAAATTCACAAGTTGAGTGGTGGTAAAATGAAAACTAGCAAAGCTTATCGGATCCAGACTAAATTATATGGAAATCCCTATCATTAGGAAACTAGGTCCCGTCATATTGAACAGGGGAAATTCACAAGGAAGGTAACTAGAAAACTAGAAAAGATAAAGTTGAACGAGAACAATAAGGGTGCAAATTAAAATCTTGAAAAGCTAAAGTAGAACAAGAACAAGAAGGGTAAGTACAAAAAAGGATAAAGAGTTTAGCCTTTTTCCCCAACAATAAGAATTTTTTAATCATCAGAAAATAGGCAGGAGACGAAAAGACAAGAAGAATGATGGATGAGGCAGAGCACAAAAGAAAAGAAGCAAAAACATTTAAGAAGAATAAAGAACATGAATGCCTTGGTGAGCGGATTTAGATTACCGAGCAACCACTGCTGAAATCCAAGACAACAGAGAAACATTGAAATAGCTAAAGAAAAATTCATAACCCATTATCAAAAAAATGCAGAGTTATAAAATCAGATAGTCACGAACACCATTTTAATGAAATGAAAATGGCCGGAATTTTTTAATTTAACTTTTATAAATGCAGAGTTATAAAATCATGCAGAAAAAACAATGGATATAAAAATTGTTGGAGAAAAGCAAAAATGAAGATTACAAGTATACTTCCATTTGTTTATTTATCATGATGAAATAAAACAGACAAGGCGATGAAAGAAAATTTCAAAACACACTCATAATTAGAGAGTGTTTGGTGAGGATTAAAATTAGATTTTTAGTAGATTGCGATATAAGATTTTGAAATATGCGATTGAAAAGTTGTGGGCCCATGAAAGATATGGTTAATATTGATTGTTTGACTTTGATTTGGATTTAAAGTTAATTTTAATCCGGACCAAACAAGGGTTTAGTGTTTAATTCATTCAGTTTTGATGCACATGAAAATGTTTCAAACAAGAGTTCTGCTTGGTGTACATTTGTTCACAGAATTTCTACAGGCTTCCAATTGGCAATTTTTTATTCATCCTTAATCAAAAACACAAAAAATGGACATCATACAGGAGCTACCAACACAGCACCTGTAAGGTAACTGTGAACAATTCCCCTGTAGAAGGGGAATTATTCTTCAAGCATGTATTCATTTTTAGCATTAATCAAAATTATCGATTTCTTTTTTTCTGGTTTTTTCTTCTTCTATTCGTTTACTAAATTCACAAATAGGTGTCAATGGGTAAAGAAAGATGCTACTTCTTTTTTCTTGATGGAGAGGGAGAACACGATGGGAATCATCTTTAAACCACAAAAACTCACTCACACTCCTCGTAATTCAGCTCAAAATCACCGAGTACTTGAGTAAAAGTTGACTAGTTAAAGATAAGAACATCTCAGAATCCTTTCCAGATCCCTCTAATACCAAAATAAATAAATGTATAACAAGATAACAGAATAACACTCGTATAATTATTGACACACATTTCGCCAAGAGGTGTGTTAAATTCAGATTAAATCAGACAAATACAAAATGGAATTTCAAAGTATTTTCCACATCTTCTTGTCCCTTAAATATCAACTTATTGCTCATCTTTAACACTCTGAAATCACGTTAGTTCATTGCCATTGTCAACAAGAGAATTACCTCACGTAATTTTAACTGGAGTAACAATTTGATGATGAGACACCACATAGGATCAAAAGAAAAAAATACTACTGAAAACTGAAAACAAGAAAAAGACAATCTGTAGAACACAAATGAAGAAGAGCAAATCACAAGCAATAATTGCAATAATAATCATATCAATATGCTCAAGATCTAGGCACAAAAAATCCCGAAAACACACAAAAATCTGACTTGTAGCCTAAAAGGTAACTGAAAGAAATGATGAGATTGCTCACCCAAGTATCTTGGGGGCACGGAAGCTCTCAAGAACTGGTTCCTAGGATCAAAGTCAAAGCCAGTGGCATTGTGTTTCTGATGATGAGACAGTTCATCATATTCCTTTGCCACCAAAGGACCGAGCCCACAGTAGACTTCAATCCACTTATTCTTCTGGGCTTCCAATCCCACAAACCTCAAAGCCTCCACCTCCTTCCTCGAATACACCAGTCTTTTCTTCCCTTTATTCCCAATGTAGCCACAATCTTGGGAGCGGGTACCTGAAGTTTCCACCTTTTTTTCAGCTTTCGAGATCCTTCTTTTTGGCCTTTTCTCCTTTGTCCCCTGAGTTTTTTGGCGCTTCCCATTATTAAACGTCCCATTTCCGAGACAGGGTAACTCGATGAGTGCTGTCTCATCAATCACTTGAATCTTCAAAGCGCATTTTAAAGATTCAAACTTCTCTTGTTTCTTCACAGTTCTTGAACATATTACATCATCAGAAAATTTTCCTTCTAGTTTCGTCACAGTTCTTGAATCAACTCCATCATCAGCAAACTTCCCTCCTTGTTTGGTCACAGTACTTGAACAAATTGCATAATCTGAAAATTTCCTTTCTTGTTTCGTCACAGTTCTTGAGTCAATTCCAGCATGAGAAAAATTACCTTCTTGTTTCTTCACAGTACTTGAAACAATTGCATAATCAGCAAAAACTCCTCCTTGTTTCTTCACGGTACTTGAATCAATTGCATCATCAGCAAAATGTCCTTGTTTCGTCACAGTTCTTGAATCGATTCCATCATCAGCAAAATCATCTTCTTGTTTGTTCACGGTACTTGAAATAATTGCATCATCAGAAAAATGCCCTTCTTGTCTCGTCACAGTTCTTGGAGCAATTGCATCGTCAGCAAAATTACCTTCTTGTTTCGTCACAGCTCTTGAATCAATTGAATCGTCAGCAAACTTCTCCTCGCGATTCTTCTCATTTCTTGAATCAGTCGCGTCATCAGCAAACATCGCCACACAAGAAGAAGGCGGTTCTTGAATATCAGGGAAAACAACATCAGTACTGACCAAGGCGGAGTCATATGCAACATCACCAGATGGTGAATCTCGAAAGACTGCTGTTTTCAGGGTCTCCGTGTCCACCTCTGAATCTTGTTGATAACCAGAAAAGCAACACTCCGGCTTCTTTAACAGTAAAGCACTGCTCTTTTGGTTGTTATTAGTATCATCAAGAAGGACTTCTTCAATCTCTCCTCCGTTAGGCGAGTGTAGATTCGGGGAAGGGAGAAATTCGTGTGATCGAGATGTAGAAGTAGTCATTTTGAGGGCATCGGCAGAATCCAAAGTCTCAGCCATGAGAGAATAGCGTACTGATTTCACAGTTGAGAGAGAGGGAGAGTCGGGGAAGGGAGAAATTCGTGGGATTGAGTTGTAGAAGTAGTCATTTTGAGGGCATCGGCAGAATCCAAAGTCTCAGCCATGAGAGAATAGCGTACTGATTTCACAGTTGAGAGAGAGGGAGAGAGACGAAAATAGAAAGAAATTTCACTGTCGAGAATTTTATATTGACAACGGAGTAGACGATTGTTCAGAGGGTTTATATAGGGTGGTTTAATTTCACTGGAAGTCCTTAGACTTTCACAATACTTGCAATAAGTCTGAACTTCAATTTGATGTAATTATGTTATTCAAGTCACTATACTTAAATTTAAGAGTAATCAACTCGCCCGTTTCGGGTTCTATGAATGAGCATATTGCAGTTAAGTATCCACGAAAAACAATGGAATCAGATGTACTAACATGTCTAGTCATTTCCCACGACAACTCATCTAAAGTTGTAATGGAGGTCACTGAATTTAGCAACTATATTTTTTTTAGGGATAATTGCAGCTCGGGGAAGGGAGAAATTCGTGGGATCGAGTTGTAGAAGTAGTCATTTTGAGGGCATCGGCAGAATCCAAAGTCTCAGCCATGAGAGAATAGCGTACTGATTTCACAGTTGAGAGAGAGGGAGAGAAACGAAAATAGAAAGAAATTTCACTGTCGAGAATTTTATATTGACAACGGAATAGACGATTGTTGAGAGGGTTTATATAGGGTGGTTTAATTTCACTGGAAGTCCTTAGACTTTCACAATACTTGCAATAAGTCTGAACTTCAATATGATGTAAGTATGTTATTCAAGTCACTATACTTAAATTTTAGAGTAATCAACTCGCCCAGTTTCGGGTTCTATGAATGAGCATATTGCAGTTAAGTATCCACGAAAAACAATGGATGTACTAACATGTCAAGTCATTTTCCACGACAACTCATCTAAAATTGTAATGGAAATCACTGAATTTAGCAACTATATTTTTTTGTGAATAATCGTGCACATCAATGGTTCCGTATTGATGAAGAGGTGAGAAAATATTGTAGAGTTTCCATGTAAATGCATACTATTGATGTCGTTAACATCTCCAAAAAGCGTGCCACTTGAACAAAAGTATAAGCACGATCATCTCAAAAGAATGAGACTAATTTACATCTCTTGCATCGGAGGATGTTCAAACTGAAATAATAAATAAATAAAAAGAATAATGCTAACATCTCCAATGCATTACATGATTTGCAAAAGCTTTGAAATTTTCATTTATAGTGGATCATAGTGTTTTGATGGTAGAAATTTCTTAAAAGTTTTAGGGCATCTTCAATGTAATCATGGATTGTTGAAAAATTGTCAAGTAAAAATATGCAGTATTTAGAAAAGAATAACACTAACATCTCTAATGCATTTCATGATTTGCAATCTAGATGGCTTCAAAGTAAAAATGATTTCGATCTATACGATATTAATATCTAATGAATAGACGGCCTAATTCCAATTTCATTTTGAATGGGTTCTGTTTATAATTCAAATTTCAATTATAATATATTTTTAATATGAGAAAAAAATAGCAAATAGTAGACAGAAATATAAGGAAAATACTTCTTATACATAACTATTTACATTATTTTTTTTTTTACATAATGATATAGTGTCAAAATGTAAGTAGAAAAATTATTTGATCGATAAGATTTTAATCCAATTAAATCTTGTCATTCATCTGTTGATAAATTATTATATAAGTTATTATGTACATATAGCACAATAAAAAATATAATATGGTGATCTCCATCTCTACATTTAGACGGTTATTTTGACAATGTCTATNAAAACATTTAGACGGTTATTTTGACAATGTCTATGCTTTTCTTTTAAATATATATTGGAGAAAACCTTTTGTAGACAAAAATTTTAGCTTGTGTTAAACTTTTTAGCGCAATCCAGGTAAGCGCAGGGAATGCTTTTAATGCTATAAGGGTGCGTTTGATTACAAGAGTGGAAAATGGGTGGAAAGAAAATGTTTTATAGGGAAAAGATTTGCCTAAAAAATGTTTTGAGGAAAATGATTTCAAGTGTATTTGATTTGTATAATTTTCCACCTGGAAAATTTTTAAATTTTCTANAATTGGTTATAAAATTTGTTTCTATTGCCAAAAAGTTAAAAAAAAAGGAAAAAAAATTGTTTCCTAAAAAATCATTTTTTTAATCAAAATTTAGTATTCGTTTGACTTTGTTTTGCATGAAAATTGTCTATTAAAGTAAAATTTTTTTTTACCTTTTGTTATAACATTTGTTTCCATTGCCCAAAAAATAAAATTTCACCCAACCGGGAAAATATTTTCATCAAAAACTTGAAAATTGCACACGTGTGGGGAAAGTTCGAAAAATATTGGAAAATTTCGCCTATCAAACAGTTAAAAAAGTGGAAAGTGGAAAATATTTTTCTACTTCCCCGAAAAATGTGGCCTATCAAACACGGCCTAAGTATTATATCACTAGCCTATGTGACGTTAAAATACATTAAATGATAAACCTAATTAGAGCCTATTTGTTTCAAATTAATATTGAAAATATAGTCGTTATTGGATCTCACTCGTCTAATAAAAGTTAATAATAACGGCTAGTTTTTCAATTTTAATCCGATTTTAATCTCTACCGAACACACTCGTTAAATAAGAGATGAGTGTCATATTCACACCTTTAATTGAATGGTGATACTACACGTACAGAATGCGGTATTCATAACGGTGTCCATCCCCTCACATGGAAGGGGAGTCACTTCGAATAAAATATAATATATTCGAAGTGTATCCCCCTCCATGTGAGAGGATGGACATCGCTATGAACATCATATTATGTACAAGTAGTATATTCCTTAATTGGATATATCATTTACCTGGAATAATGTTACAGGACAAGTAATGCTAAATAAAATTATTCATTAAAAAATTCCTCTCCAATTCAAATTTATAGGATGACATGGCAAAGAAAAACATGGACCATGTCTCGATCTCCTCGTCTAGATTCAAAATTTCATTTTGACGGGGTGACTCAGCTTACTTTATATTTCCTCTCCATATTAAGACATTATTTTGTGTTAAAATAAAAGACGCTTAGATGGTAATCATAGATTGTATTGAAGAATAATTCTGAACTAGAGCGTCTATTAAATCAATGTCACATCCACGTAGACCAAAAGTCTTTCACCTTTCGTGCCACCTAAATACCGATTTATAGTATATGATATTATTTACCTTTTAAATGAAAAAGACAACTTCTTTATCCTTTACATGAAAAAGATAGGACCTCAAAGGTCAATTCGGTTTACCATTTTCAAATCGTTTTCTATTTCGAGTTTCCAAGATAGTGAAAACGCGTATTCTTTCCTATTTTTGAAAGCGTATTTTTAAAAACAAGTTAAAAATTTACAAAGAAAACTCAAAACGACAAATTTGGACGTTTTCAGTTATAATCAAGTCAAAATTTTCAAAACCTATTTTGAATGTTTTAAAAACAATTTTTCAAAATGCCAAAAAAAACACATTTTCAATAATCTTAAAATGGACACTCAAGACACAAAACCCAAAATGAATTCAAAATTTAAAACACAAAATTGAAATACAAAGAGAACAACTCCTAAGATTTTTTATTCCTTTCGAAGTAAGACTAATCCAACTTCTGAAACATGAGGACAAATCATAATAAAACCATAGGAATAAAGCACAATAAAAGCTGAAATCCAGCAATATATAAAAACTGAAAAGCATATAGGTTCTTTAATACATTCTCAATCCCATGGCCCATTCACAATTTAAAAGGCATCGCCAACATACTGCAAATAGGCAAAAAGATTGAGGTAACCATAGCAATTACAAGTATCAAGTTCCGGAAAAGAAATGAAAAAATATATATTTATGAAGTGATCAAAGAAATTCACACAGAAATGGACCCAAATTAAGGCAGAGGTTTCAGAATTTCAAACATGGAGTAACTGATGTTTTAGCACTACATCTCAGGAGCTGGGGCAGTGGACTTCAACAGTGGCTGCAAAGCCTTGACAACAATGCTTATATTTGGTCGAAACTCGGCTTCATACTGTACACACAGTGCTGCAACAGCTGCCAGCTGAATAATTGGATGCACGGTTGCATAATTAGTATGGTGAACTTTTCTTTTCCTATTTATGAGTGCATGAATGGGGTACATGTACGAGGTGAAATATTGACTACTGGCACCTAATTGCCCGAATAGCAAGTTGCCCAAACCCTAAAATTTGAGTAAGTTCAGCATTAGATTGTACTTGCACAATTAGTTTCCCTTGACAAAATTACATGTCCAAATCTATGATAAAACTGTCACATGATACTCACATGTAGAACGTTGTGAAGTTAAATTCGGCCAAATTTAACGTTTGAGGATTGATTGCGCAATTTTTCATAATAAAAGGTTGAGAACCAACTTTCTATTCAGGCACTATATTTGAGAAAGATGATGCAATTTCCCCATGTATTTGAAGAGGAAGAGAGAGAGAGAGAGAGAGAGAGGACCTTTGCAACTCCTTTTGGAGGATACTCTCCCTTAAGTTTTGGATCGACACATTGTTTAACTTTGTCCTCACTCAGTCTTGGAGTGGCCTAAAAGAAGTACAAGAGATCCAGTAAACTACATGTACTATGGAGATTATCATGAAATCGAACAACAAAAGAAATGAAGGTGAGATTTTTTTAAGCATGAAACATGGTAACTGTCAAACGTAAAAGGCTTACCCAGGTAACAAGACTCTGCTGCCCACGAGGCATGGTATGATCAACAGGTTTCCTTCCAGTCAGAAGCTCAAGCAAAACCACCCCAAAACTATACACGTCACTCTTCTGTGTCAACTGTCCTGTCATTGCATATCTGCAATATATTTATGAACAGAAATTAGTCAGGCTATATATTTTAAAAAATGAACAGTTTGACCTATTCTTTTGTGGTTAAACTATAT